AACAAAAAAGAAAAATTATATTTAAGAGAAAAAACCACAGTGGCAAATGACAGCAGCGCGCAACAAGCAGTAGCTGCTGTGAATGCAACAAATGTAAAAAGCGCAACGAATTGCGGCAGCCGTTTGCTAACTTAAAAAGTTTGCTGCCAAAAGGTGGCGACCCGCAATAAAAACTTGCAGCACGTATGCGCCGCATACTTCCGCCGCCTGATGCCAAATCAAAGATCGCATTCTCGCTGCCGCCCACTCTCTACCACCCTCTCTCACCCACCCCCTCTCTCCCACCCTCTCTCTGCCACTCGCACTGTTGCTGTCTCTCGCCGTGTGGCTTGTTCCTCTATATTTGCCGCGAGTTTTGGGTGTCACGCGCCAAAGCGTCGCTGCAGCTTCGCCGTGCAACACTTTGAACGCAGCGATTAGCAAAAAGGGACACGTACAGGATGCCACGCTTATAAACAACAATACACACATGCACACCCCGTCGAGACACGCGCTCACACAAACGCATACCACGCGCCGCAAATTAACGGTTATTAACGAGGCAAACCAGCGGCAAACCTGAGAAGCGGCCAATGCCAGGGGCGGGGGAGGCGAGGGCCGGCAAACAGAGGCAAAAAAAACCAGATCAATAGCAAGCAGAGCATATCAAGCAAGCAGAGCAGAGCAGAGCAGACAGAGCAGAGCATAGCAGGCATAGTCAGAGCATAGCAGATCAAGCATAGCAGAGCAGAGCAGATCATAGCATATAAGCATATCATATCAGAGCAGATGCATATCAAGATAGGCATTCAGACAGATCAAGCAGAGCATAGCTAGCAGAGCAAGCAGACAGACATAGCAAGCAGCTGCAGAGCATAGCATATCAGGCAGAGACAAGAGAGCAGGATCAGAGCAGATCAATAGCAGAGCAAGCAAGCAGATCATATCATATCATATCATATCATATCATATCATATCATATCATATCATATCATATCATATCATATCATATCATATCATATCATATCATATCATATCATATCATATCATATCATATCATATCATATCATCATATCATATCATATCATATCATATCATATCAGCATATCATATCATATCATATCATATCATATCATATCATATCATATCATATCATAGCATATCATATCATATCATATCATATCATATATCATATCATAGCATATCATATCATATCATATCATATCATATCATATCATATCATATCATCATATCATATCATATCATATCATATCATATCATATCATATCATATCATATCATATCATATCATATCATATCATATCATATCATATCATATCATATCATATCATATCATATCATATCATTCATATCATATCATATCATATCATATCATATCATATCATATCATATCATATCATATCATATCATATCATATCATATCATATCATATCATATCATATCATATCATATCATATCATATCATATCATATCATATCATATCATATCATATCATATCATATCATATCATATCATATCATATCATATCATATCATATCATATCATATCATATCATATCATATCATATCATATCATATCATATCATATCATATCATATCATATCATATCATATCATTGAAAACTTCAAATCTTTCCCTAGTCACATCTCAAGTTTTATTTTAACAAATATTTTTAATAAATCTTTTCCAACTGTTCAATCATGAATGTATATATATATTTATATATTTATTTAAGAATTGATTTATTTATTTTATTTTTTGTTTTTATAATTTAAACTATACTTATATGACCGACCTTTCCTTTCATTCTAAGTTCAAGTTTATCACAATTTATAAAAATGTAAAAACTATTGCAGACAACTTTTTTAATTATTTCTCAAATGCAACTTATCGATTGACTTTGATAAAATAACCCACGTTTGGTAAATGTTAGAAACCCGATTTTGAATCTTTCACTATATGCCGTGCAAAACCGGTTAACATTTGTTTTGGAGCATATTTGCTGGAGTATATGCTGAATATTTTCCAACAATCAGAATTCATACTTATACAACAATCTAAGAGTTCCTACAAGAGACTATTGCCTATTTATGGTAAGTATATATAGATATATATATATATATGTAGATATATATAGCCATATACTATGGAGTCCGACTTAAAGTGATATATAGCACCAAATTAGAATTGATCGCAAAATAGAAATATATAAAATTCGTATTTTATGCAGAAGTAAATACTTGATCTTCCATTAACAAGCTCACTTGAATAATGAGTATTCGAGTTATAGTAAAAATGAATTAATAGAATATTATAATAAATTATTTAAAATAAATTACTTACTCACTTTTTTAAAAATGCGGGACACTGCAGCAATTCTTGAAGTGCCCCAAGAAAGTTTCGTGTGCCTGGCAATATGCTTTCATATTTTCAAAGTAATTCTTGTGTTTTTCTACTTTTTTATTTTTCTACATTTTTTTTTTTTTATTTGTTATTGTGTTGGCCATCATGCATTTTCCTAACGATTTTCATGCAGTTGCAATTTGCGTATACGTGATATGCGAATTGGCTAAAATTTGTAGTTAAAGTTTTCAAAAAGAATTTTCAAACTTTTCCATAAACAGCCGATTAAAAGCAATTAAACGTCATAATAAATCGAATATTTTGATGATAATTTCAATTGAAACCAAAAAGCAATTTGCATTTTAAGCCCTTGCTTCATGGCGAAATGCAAAATCAAATTAAAATACATATTAATGCAAATAAAATACGTTCAAAAATAGACAAAGTGCACTTTTCATACTTTAATCAAATATGGTTTCTGGGAAATGACAAAAAATAAAAAAAAACAAACAAACAAAATGCAAAAGTATAAAAAACGAAAAACAAGTCAAACTTTAGATCCCATGAAAGTAAAGTTATTCTTGCAGTCTCAATTAAATACTTTTACATATTTATTTGCAACTGAACATTCGGACATCAAATGGCCAAAAAGATGGAAATGGAAATAAACCACAAATATGCTTTCAACTTTAAAAACAGAACTTTCGCCAGCTTGGGAGACGCAAGCCACAAAAAAAAGAACTCAGATAAAAACTAAAATAAAAAAAAAAGGCAAAAAACGAACTTTTTCACTCATTTTTTTCGGAAATATTTTGAAAACGCACACAAACACACACACACACACGCACACGCACAATATGAATCCCCAGAAGCGCCACATTCATCACATAAATATTTGGAAAAGTTTTCAAAAATAAACAATTATTTATGGTTTGGTACTTACTGTTGGAAAAATGTCCTGAGAACGACGCACTTTTCAGTCGTTCGAATCCAGTGAGAATTTTGTGCACATTTTGTGCGTAAGCAATCAACAAATTCTTACACCGCAGAGTTAATAATAATATGAAAACACAACCAAAAAAAATGCAACAAACAATAAAAAAATAAAGTGAAGACACAAAACTAACACAAAATGTTGTGCAAATTAAAATTTGAGCTCCAAAAATGCAAATAGTTTCGACTTTTCTCTCAAATTTCAAATAATATTTATTTTTTTGAACTAGTTCTTTTATTTTTTTAATTAATTTTTTGGTTTTTGTTCTGAATGAGCTACGAGATCTTTAGCACTGCACTTGCACAAAAAAACAATAAAAAAAAGTATTGATAGCGAGTTGCTGATTGCTGTTGTTGTTGGCGAGCAACATGAGCGTTTGAGAATTTGATTGAAGTTTGAAGTGTTGAGTTTTTGAATGTTCAGAGTTCTGGTTCTGCTCAGCTGCTGCTCCACAACTCGCCCTGGCGAGCGTTCAAATGAAACTGATGCGATAGCGCAACAGTCGCAGGAATATAAAGCAACCAGCACGCCCACGACAAGAGCGCCATAAAACCAACGCACACTAACGAAGAGCGCACGAGGCGAACGAAACGAACGAGACGAACGATGCGACTGCCGCGACTGCGGCGACTGAGGGGAATGAGGGGAGGGAGCGCAACGCCTCCTACACAGTGGAGCACGAACGAATGCACAGCCGCAATACACGAAGCATAATAAACACCTGTAAACGCAGTCATCGTCGACGTTCGGGTTTGTTCGCTGCCGCTGCCGGCGTCGCTGCCGCTATAATGCCGGCACAGTCGTTGTATTTTTTATTTGCGAGAATGCGAGAGCATGACAGTGCGAGAGTGTGCGTGGGAGTGGGACAGCAATAGAGAGCGCACGACTAGCGCTCCTCGCGGAAGCGGAAGGAAACTCAACAGTTGGCACATTACGGCAGCTACTTGTTGTTGCTTGCTTTGCTAGCTTTCCATACACTTTATGGCAAGCTCATTTATTGCATTTATTGCACACATACACGAACAGAAGACACACACACGCACACATACAAAAGCATAGCCTATGCGTTAAGCCGACGCCAACGGTCAGCATTATCATGACGCTTCTGCCCCAACGCCGCGGTGTGCATCAGTTCATCCAAGCGCAGCAGCTGCATGCTATCTCTTGCTAGCGCATCCACCACGGTTGTGGCCAATCTATCCTTAAGCAGTCCCAAACGTCGCAGCACTCGTCGCACCTTTCTGGCAAACTTTCTGCCTGGCTCTGATGTTGGCTTTGATGTTGGCTTTGCAGTTGCCGGTTCAGGCTCGGGCTGGGCAGCAGCCTCACCTTGCCTAGCCGGACGCAGCTCGACCAGCGCCAGACTGTTGCTTTTCTCGACATCGATGCCAGTTGGGAATTCCAAGCGATCGCGTTGGGCAGCGGCCAGTACGACGCAAAGCAGCAGTAAAAAGGTGCAACGCATTTTTTTTTTTTTTTGGTTTTTTGGTTTCTTTGCAGTATTCAGTTTCAGTTGGAACAGCTTTCTGTGCTCTTCTCGGCCAAGTTGTCGCTACTTATAGGCCAAAACTGACACGACAGAGAGACAGTTTAGCTGACTGTCAATGTGTGGCAGCGTTCAGACATTAGATAAGCTTTGATTTATTTACAACTATTTTAATTAACTTTTTTTGCATTTCCTGACTATAACGTAGATATGTTTTGTTGCCTGCGTTGGCCGCCCCCGCCCGTTTATAGGCCCTTCTCCAGTTCCATGCGCATCGCGTTCAATAATTCCGGCAATAGCGCCACATACTTATCCACACAGTCCAAGGAGCAGCGCTCGACACGCCCGCCACAGTTATCATCTTCGCCGGGCAACTGACACTGGCGCAGACAATCCTCCAGCTGGGACTCGAACTCGGCCAGCTCCTGTTGCACATAGCAGCGGGCGCGCGTCAGCGGCATTTGGCAGCGATCAACGCAACGCTGTACCGCATCCGCACTGGCGTTCATATCGGCACAACAGCGTTTGGCACATCCGTGCATCGTCAGCTGCAGTTTGCGCAAATGCTCCCGATCCATGTCGTCGACGGCATTGATGAGCGCATTGTCAATGCGTTCACGCTGCTCCATTAAATTGGGATTCTCGCCCATTTTCTGGTCGCGTCTTTTATGTTAGTTGAGTGAACAATTTTTGGGTATATTTCGGATGTCATATGGAGTACGATAGCTTTAGTAAATGAAAAAGATTGCTTTGTGTGCTCACAACAAAATATTGCTAGCTCCTAGCTTCCAGATGCAGCGAATAATGGCTGCTATCGATAACTTATCGATATACATTGCCAAACATACTAGTTCGTAGTTACGTACATTATCTTGGCACTTATTTTTGATGCAATGTGGAGTACGCTAGCTTCAGTAACCAAAAGCTGATTGCATTGTGCGCTCACAACAAAATATTGCTAGTTCATAGTTTGCAGGTGAAGCAATTGATGGCTGCTATCGATAACTTATCGATATACATTGTTATTGCTCTTGCCACTTATTTCAGATTTCATATGGAGTAGAACAGCTACAGTAAATGAAAAAGATTGCTTATCGAAGTTCGTACTTGGCAGATATAGCCAATAATTTCTGTATTTGATAGCTTATCGATATACAATGCCGTTGTTCTTGTCACCTTTCTTAAGTTGATAAACATTTAAGTCTTACGTTGTGTATGTTGCAGCATATGATATTGTGATGAATAAATCCACTAAGTCAATCGATTAACATTTCGATAACGATATCAACCAAACCACATACTGTGTTATATTATCGATATTTTTCTTAAACAAACAAATGTTTGTCACTTTAATAGCCTTCTCACAGATAATTAACAGATTATTAATCAAATTTGATATTGATGTATATCGATAACTATCGAGAAAACCACAGTTAACAATGCAAAGTCGAATTGGCCGATTTCCTTGTACTAGTTTGCCTTTTGTTCAGCTATTATGCAAATTTCTCCATAAATTTGTTCCACTTTGAATGCACGTCGTGTGCCATTTAAATAACATTTATCGATAATTTATTTAGCTAATCGATTGCAGGACCATTGAGAGCCTACCTTTCCCCCAGCCACAATAATGTAATTATTTGTTTTAGGCTACGGACTGTTCTGCCACCAGCTTAGCCACGCCCCCCCCTAACTATCCCCCTCCCAAACTGCTTTCCCCTTTCCCATACGGCACAAATTATTCATACATGCTCCCAATTGACGAATACAATACAATACAACACAATTGCCATACGTGGCTGCACATTATTTATGTATCCACAAGTAAGCAGAAAATGTGACATACTTTTGGGGGCAACGAAAGCAATTCGAAAATTACTAATAACAAATATATTCAAATTGTCTTGCTCCACAAAGCCGTGCAGCACAGTTTCATAGAAATTTGCAGGTGCAAAATTTTCCAACCATAGAATCAGTTCTCGATTTGAAAGGCGTTAGAAATAATTTTGTTCTCTCAACTGCCACAATTTTGGTTTTAGAATGGAAACAGTTCGAAAATTATTTCGATTTTAATACAATTTGACAAGTAAAACTTTGTCAAATACATATATTTGAGCAAATTTTAACGTAGAATGTTCACAAAAAGTTCTCTACTATTATTATATGCCGAGTCTCAGTACTCAATACTACTTTGGACTAAGGTTACGTGCATTGAAAATGATCTAGTTCATTTGCAACATAAAGTTGTTCCACTGCTGGTCACTGGCCATACAAATTTCATCAGTCAGAGAACTCTCTAGGCTAATGGCACTATGACCAAGTCATTTAAATATCCGTGTGGCTGTACGTCCGTCTGCCCCTCCGTCTGACCGTCCGTCTGTCTGCCCTTCTGTCCGTCCGTCTGTCCGTCCTGCTGTCCGTCTGTCTGTCTGTTTGTCGAACTGCTATCAATGGGCAATCAATGCGGGAGTAAGGCGCGCCAACGAGTGCAAGAGATAGACATAAAGACAGAGAGAGTGCGAGAGAGAGAGAGCGAGAAAGAGAGAGAGAGAGAGAGACGCCAGTTGAGCAGTTTAAAAATGTGGCAAGAAGTGGCGGCAACAGCGACGAAGGCGACGGCGTTGTCTAACAAAATGTTTTCACATTATTCAAATGAAATGCTTTTTATTGTCTGTCCACAAGCAAACAGCAACAACAAAAATGATAACAATTATAATAAATAACAGAAAAAAAATACCGAGCTATCGATGGCACGCCGACAATCAAATATCCTTGCAGACACACATACTATTCACATTAATTCGAATGTTTTGAGCTTTTTTCAATAAAACAGTTTGCATAGAGGCGGGCAGAGATTTATATTTTGTATAACTACTCGGCTGTTCGTACTATTCATGAATATATATACATATATACACATATATGCGTTACGAGACTCGTGACATAGCTCTAAGGCCCTTTGTAAGTGTACAAAACGCAAGCAAATCAACATGATACAACATGCAAACTAAACAAGAAGTACGAGCAGGTGGCGAGAGGCGGAGTGGGGTTGCGAAGAAGAAGTGAAAAAATATTACCTGCATTCATAGAATACAATGAATCATTTTGGTCTTTGTTTCAAATGTGTGCGTGCGTGTGCTTGTGTGTGTGTGTGTGTGTGTGGGCAGTAGAAATGGAGTGGGAGCTGGGACAACGGGGATACGGGGGTACGGGCGGCTAGCACAAGAATTGGCAGCGAAATGGCGCGACAGTCGCCGAGGAATGGGCAGGCCGGGGCAGGGGTATGGCAAGTGTAGTGTTTGGATGTCTTTGAGCAATCAACGGTAAATGCAATTTCAATTTTCATTAATCTGCTTGGTTAAAAGGCATGCACACTAATATCCACACTCACACCCATACACACACACACACACACACACACACACACACCCACTGAGCACGCACAACCATATATAAAACGTACACAGCGCGGCTGACAGGATAGAGCAGGACGAGGTGGGTCGCGTGGGCGGGCGCAGAGGCAGACGAGAACAAAGAATGCCAAGGAATTGTGCGAGCTGAAAGTTGTGCGCTTATCGGCGACTGTCAAAATGTAATGTGTGTGTATGTGTGTGTGCCGCACGATAGACAAACAAAAAGCGTTGACGTAGGGTGAGCGAGAGAAAGAGAGCGAGAGAAATGCAAATAAAAGCGAGAGCGATCCAGCAATGCAATGCCTTGTTACAAACACAATGCACAGAGAGAAAACGATGGAGAGAGTGAGTATAAGCGGGAGTGAGGAGCGAGAGAGAGAGAGTGAGCTAGGGACGGCAGGGGGAGGGGAATACTTTTGCACAGAGATGGAAAGATTTGATTAGAAATTATTTGTCATTTTGCTGCCATTGAACCAGTGATTCGGTTTATGAACCAATGGAGAACATAAAGAAAATTGTTTGCATTTATCTTCAAGCTCTGCAATGCCTGATTTGCTGAAGCAGTTGATGACTCGAGTACAATTCAAACTGCAATTGAGAGCATTGCACTTTGCTTCTACGATTGCTTTAATGAAAACGTTTTCAATAGTGAGTGCAACTAGTTCAGTTTAATACGAGCTTTTGTCACCTAAAAACATGCATTACGATTCTTGTGAATCTGTTCGTTCGGTTTGTTTCATTTGCAACATTACGTCAAAGGTTAAGTGGTTCATTTACTAATTCAGTCTACAATTGGTACCCAAATATTTATGCAACATTCAACAAATTGACGGATATGTACAATTGTGGTTCTTTCTCTGGTTCCACGACTGGTTAATTGTAGACTAAACACCAAGAGAGTAAAGATTTAATTGACTGCCGAAAACTTACTGGTTCATTAACTGGTTCATTCTTCAGCTCGTTTAATAGTTGTCTTAAGAAACTGACTGATATGCACAGCTTTTGCTTTAAGCTATTATGTGAAAAATACGCAACACTTGTAAGTGATCCATTTACTGGTTCGTTGTAAAAGCAGTAGAAGAGCGTCATATGCAAAATGTAGTACACAGATACTCTGCTTTAAAAGCACTTGACGTTAAGAAGACTTTCGGCTGCCATTCCCAACAGATTCATAAGACATTCCATGTTATAAGACAGCAGCAAGCAGCAAAAATGTGATATGAGCCATGACGTGGCACGGCGCTGAATGGATGTTGGCCCGGTTGCGTGGGGGGTGGGGGGGGGGGGGGGGGGGGGGACTGTGGACTGTGGCCCAGTCAATGGCCCAGAAGCGAAAGCATAAGCATTGAGAGCCAGCCTAGGCCTATATACAGTAAATGCATGCATATCTGGGTTGCCTTGGCGTTGCCTCAAAGTGACAAGTCAAGCAGAGCCAAAAAGCCAGAGCGACGTCCCCAGCAAGGACATGCCACGAGGATTGGCCTCAGCAATGATTGCGACAACGACTGCGGCTTGTGTGATATGTTAATTTGGCCTAAACTACACGACGCTGCACGTTGCGACCGTTGCCAGTAAAAATCCCCAAGCATATATATATATATATAGACATACATATATATGTATATATATTAAAATATCAACAACAAGAAGATGAAACGTGTAACACATTCGCCAGTTAGCGCAGGATTTCAATGTGCCAACGCTTCACGAAATTGCATACCCTGTACAAATGTGCGAGCCTATGTGACAGGCAGAGCAGTAGATACACAAGCCCAAAGGGTGCTTATATGTATATATATAGTACTTCTTTAGATCTGTTCGACAATCTTTTATTTTATATTAAGGGCGACATCTTTAAACTAAGTAAGTTTGACAACAATCGGAAGGTAAACCAGGAAGTTCTTCAGGCGTTCATTTGTATAAATTTATAAAGCTAAAATAAAAATCACCAGAAAGTTGTGCATGTACAGGGTATGCCCCAAACGCACACTCTCGGCTAGATCAGAGTTTTCTTTTTTGGTTGGGGGGGGGTTTTTCTATCTTAAATTTTTTTCATAATGAAATTTGTGACCCAGTCGCATTGACACGTGCGAGCTGCCGTGTCAGGCGCCCTTTGGCGCTCATTTTGCTGCTGCTGCTGCTGCTGCTGCTGCTTGTCGTTGTTGTCGAATTTAATGCGGTTTGTTATTTATTAGATTTACACAAATGGCATTTTGGGGCCAGTCAGAACCTTACTATCCCAAGCGCCTACCGACGCTTATCGCCTGGGCGCCTGCCAGGCGTTAAGTGCTTGGCCCAACTCTATCGCCTGCTGTGCACGACCAGCACAAAGTACAAAAAAAAAAAAAGGATATCTTTGGCATGCCGAACATTTAATACCCTTGTAGATATTTAAGTATAGTGAAGCTCGTAACTGCTGAGTCTGGGAAAAATATTTTGGAAAGCAGAGTATTTTTCCATAATAGAACCTTCTTTTCGACTGATTGTTCCTATTGCAGTTATATGATATAGTAATCCGATTTTGATACGATTTTGCGTACATGTGAAGAGCATGGTAAAACTTATAAACGCCAATTTTCGTCAAGTTAGCTTGATAAACCAAAAGTTTCGAAGCAAGATCCTGTTTTTCGACTGATTGTTCCCGTGGCAGCTATATGATATATTTGTCCGATCCGGACGAACCCATGCAGAGTTACAAGGCGATAGCTTTAGCCTGGGAGACAGACGGTCATGGCTATATCAAGACGACTGTTGATGCTGATCTTCATATATATCAACTTTATGGGGTCAGAGCTGTGTCCTCTTAGGCGCTACAAATTTCATAAAAAATAATAAAGCCGTCTAAAAGTGTATAGGAAAAGGGAAAAGAAAGAAGAGCGTAAGAAATGCGTATTAAAATTATTGAAAATTC